TGAAAAAGCATAGGCAAGAGCAGTGGGGACCATTACATGCCCAATGCTTTGGACAAGTCTTCAACCTCTATGACTTCAGTGTCCTCATTATAAAATTGGAAGACTGGGCTGGAGCTCAGCAGTGATGCTTCAGATTTTAAAACTATATGATCCAGACTTCCTACAATACAAATAGACAATCTTCCATGAATTTGACTTGGAGGAGATGTCAAAGGAAAACAGGAATTTGCCCTTGTGCATATGGTGGCCTTGGCTGCCTTACTGACCTGGCCAGAGATAGCTCTGGACTACTTAATGACTTACTTTGTATTTGACAAAGTAAAACAGACAAGAAAAAATATTTAGCCATAAAATGTCAGGGGTTTATAGCAAAAACAGCATGGTTTTCTCTAGTGAAGCATGCCATAGCATCTGATTCTTTTAACAGCTGTGTGGACTGTTTCATTCCAACCAAATTTTTATTAAAAAAAAAAAAATGGAGGAACTAGTCCTTAGGCTGACAAGGAGTATTTAACAAACCATGTAACTACTGCATATATGCATACTATTTTTTTTCAATGTGATTTACAAAGAACAATGGCACATCATTCCTTTGATTTCACTCACCTTACCTTCCTTAGATAAGGGTAAGCTAAGGTGATATCACACATTGAGCTTGAGAGCTCTAACTAGCCTTGGCTTAGGTAACCAGCCTGGATTACAGTCTCCATGGAGTCAGTAGACTACCAACTAAAAATTAGCCACTTGTCTCCGCATATATCACTCTAGGGCAGGGTTTTCAGCCTTACTACTATTGTTTGGGGCCAGATGGTTTTCATGGGAGTGAGGTGGTGGGCTGTTCTATGTCTTGTAGTATGTTTAGCAGTATCTTTGGCCTCTATCTACTAGGTGCCAGGTAGCATCCTCCAGGCACAGCCATGACAATCATAAAATGTTTCCAGACATTGCCCAATGACTCCCAGGAGGAGTGAATTTCTCAAGTACTTCTAAACAAACTGAGTATTCATCCAAGAAATTAAGGGAGAAAAATAGAAGTTGTGTGTTCCATTCAACCACACTTTTGCTTTAAAAGTAAGTAAAGTATAGGCTTAAAAGATGTCCTGTTAAAATTTCCATTTCATAAATGGTACATAGACAGGTGTATAGAGTGTCATGAAAACAGAGTTTCATGCTTGGCTGCCACATAAGCTTTATAAAACAGTAACATAGAAAAATAGCTTAAGGAAGAAACTTCATTGAGATTTAAAATGTACTTTACTCATTTTAGCTGTAAACTGAGAACTCCTAACTGGACAGAAATCTTTCCAGCTAGAAGTGTTATTTTTATAAAAATAGTGAAAGATATCTATTAACTGTGAAAAGTAAATAAAACAAAGAAATTTATTATAATTACACAAGTGATTATAGATTACTTAAACTGAGCTTTCTGATTCCTCCTTAATATTTAAATTTGTATACATTAAACAATTACAGTATTATACCCAATATAGTACATTCAGGACTATTCATTTTAATCAATTTGAAAAATTAAAACTTCTAGAGGTGAAAGATAAGAAAGGGGCTAAAGTTTGAAATAAATAAAAATGTTAATTACTTCTTTGAATTTTAAATAAAAATGTAGCCATTATGTAAATATAAAAAGTATAATACGTACTTGATTCATTTTGGCAGATGAAGTCAAAATATAAATGTATATATTGCACGACTATGTTGAAACTGTATATTTTTTAAAGAAGTTGTCTTAGTTCCTTTATATAAATGTTTGCTTTTTATAATTAAAATGTTTTGCCTTTTTCCTTTCCACCAAAACTATAAAAATGAATGTATACATTTTGTACATAAAGTTGCACAATTCATTTGATTTAATCAGAATGGTAATCAACAAACACTAACTAATGGCTTTTCTTATATCAAAGCATGAGGTCAGAACAGAAAACCACTTTTTTCATACCACATTATAAAATATCATTTATTAAAGTTGTTTTGAATATAAAGCTATTTTGTTTTGGTGTTTTACACATTATACATTTCACAGTATTTGTCTTATGGACTCACTTTGCCTCAGAACACATTAAAGGTTCAATTTAAAAAGACTAAGAATATTAGTAGCCACAGATGTCTGGTCTTATAAGAAAAAAACCCAGCCAAACTGCTGCAACATCCAAAAGCAGAGTCATAAGTATAATTAAAAGGAAAAAAAAAAAAACTTTGGAGTAACCAGGACGGGTTAAGTATTTTTATTATAAAAGTTAAATATGCTGAAGCATTAAAACAAGATATGCATTAGTTTAACAGACTGCCATCATTGCATAAAATGGTGCACTAGTACAGAGTTTGGGTAGAACATCCATTTGTGCTGCCATTTATATCAGTGCACAGAAGTCTCCTATTCCTGTCAGGCATGCTGTCACATGCCTCCATGACCACCTCATGGTAATGAAACAGCTATGGACAATTTACTGCAGAACAACGACCAACACATGTGGCATCTCTCTCACATTAAATTCAATGTTAGAAAAAAGACAGCATTAGTAGTTTTTAACACAGCAAGTTAGCAAAGATCTGTATTAAAGCTATCATTTTGTCCTATGAAGTTCACTGGAAAATAATTTAATATTTACTCATTTTTAAGGGTAATTCCTTTTACTTATTCTATATTACCTGTTAAAAACTATAAACAGCATTAAAAAAAATTCTTCTCTCATCCTACCATAACTCTTTTAATTTTAAAGTAAAATACTAATGAAAGATTGGACATCATCTTACACAAAATAGGGCCTATTTTCACTGATGGACAACTCCCACCTTATATTAAAGAAAATGGCCACTAAACTGAACTTTTTCATGCAAAATAAAACTGAAGATTCAAAGTTGTTCTTACTATACCCTGACTCTATCACCCTCTGCTGGATGATACACCTAACTACAGCCAAAGTTCATCACTGCTGTAAAAGAGATCCTAATATTCTAGATGTTATGGTATGAAAGTAGGAAAAGGAGTGGAAAAGTCAAGTTCATCTACCCATTCAGTAATTTATCCAGATGTTTTTTCACATTTTTAAAATACGACAATTATACATGCTTCAGGTATGTTTAATTTGGGACAGAATATATAACACTGGTAATTCATTCACCAAATATTTGAGTGGCAGACATAGTACATCAAGTATCACTAAGTACCACAACAAAATAAAAATCAGAGTAGGGGACAGTTTTCCAGTTTCTAAAGAGGTAGCCAGAAAAACTCTCTGTGGGAGGTAACATTTGATCAGAGACTGAAATAAAGAGAGGAAGCTGACCATGGGGATGTCTGTAGGAAGAGTAATCTAGAAAGAACAAGTGAAGCTTCTCAAAGGTAGAAATATTCTACCAGCACCAGTCACCACAAAGCAGCAAGATTTGAGCAAGATGGGGGGTGAGGGGCAGGCTAGGGCCCCACTGCTCGGGACTTCAGGCCACGGTGAGAACTGTGAGGTCTGAGGATGTGGTTAACTATGAGAAGGCCCTTAGAGATCTACTTTAGGGAGGGAAGCATGGCAGCAGGACTGTCAGCAGGCCAAGCAAATCCACAATCACAAGAAGTAGATTGGAGGTCTGGACCATGGAAGGGGTAGTAAAGGAAAGGAAGAAACAACTAGGTTCAAAATATATCCACCTTCTAACTCTCAAATAGGTTTATTTTCAGGGATCCAAAATCAAGACCCAAGCTACTGCCTTCTTAATCGCCAATTCTCAAAAAATACTGGAAATATACTGGGATTCTAAACATCATATTCAAAAGACAAAAATATCCACAGAATACTTCACTCATTGAATATCAGCTGTTACTTTCAAATATGATGAAATCTTTCCCATTAAAAATACTTGGAGCATAAATATGAATTTCCCAATTCTTGAATGAATTCACCTACTAATCAGTCAAAGCTTCAAGGTGACCTTGAAAACCTTGCAGGCAATCCACTTAAAGGCTTATTTTTTGTTTGTTTGTTTTAGGTTACTCTTCTATTAGTTGTGTAGTCAAGTTGCAAAGGCTACATGTCAGAATGATACCAGCCCCTTAATATCTCAACTACCAATTAATTCAGCCACTCCTAAGGAAGTAAGGATTAATGAAGATTCTATTTAGGTTCAGTATAATGCATTATAAAACTTTAAAAATTTTAAAATTCAGATTCAGCATGCTCCAGGTGAAATATTTCACTTCTACATATATCTCATATTAACATTATACATTAAACATAATAAACATTATGTTAACAACATAGGTAAATCCTAGAAATATCTACAATGGCCCACTAACTTTAGAATGCTTTCAGATACAGTGCAACTGACTTCATCCAATACCTGAACCCTGATCTCCAGTGGGGTCAGGTGACAACTCTAGGAAAGGAGAGGAAGGCATTGAGCTGAAAGGGTAAGGCTGAGACCAGAAAGACTAACCTAACCAGTGAGGAATTGGTGGACATTTGTCTTTCTTACCAGTGTCCTTCTAGCATACTCTCTCCATACAGGCCAAGGAATAGGAGCTAAGTAACAGGAGATTCCTAAAGTGGATGTGGCTATCTTATAGTTCCCAGCCAGAGAGTACATGCAGAATCTTCCTTGTGATATTTCTTGGAAGACAAGGATGGATGTCTGGCACAGAACAGATATTCAATATGTATTTACTGAATAAATGAGTTCCTTAGGTAAGAATTGTTTTCAACAGATAGGTTTTTCTTTTTGTCACAGAAAGTAGGAAAACTTTTAACCTAATTGTCTGAAACTACAGTTTTTGTTCGTAACAGGCAAATGCTAATTTTATGATGATGCCCATTGCCCAAAGTAGGCCAATATTTTATTACTTTAAGAACTGCAATACCTCAATAAAGCTGGAAAATCTTTCATAAAAAATTGTATGGGGGGCTGAGGATGTGGCTCAAGTGGTAGCACATTCGCCTGGCATGCGCTGGGCACTGGGTTCGATCCTCAGCACCACATAAAAATAAAATAAAAGATGTTGTGTCCACTGAAAACTAAAAAATAAATATTAAAAAATTCTCTCTCTCTCTGAAAAAAAAATTGTATGGGATTTATACTCAAATCTATCAAAACACCATATGTAGGTTGACTAATCAAAAATTCGATCATTGTTTAGTATAAGAAGGAAAACTATTCTGAAAATGCTTTAACAAATAATCATATAATTTCTCTTACATTAATTTGTTTAAATAGCTATGGGTCAAATTTTAAAAATCAACTAACATATTAACACAAACATATTAACCTGGTAGTTAGGTTCAATAATTTTATATTGATTTGTATATTAACAAATATTAATAACTAATAAGACAGAATATTATGGTATAATTACAGATTCCAAAATACTAAAAGTCTTTGCAATGTAAAATATTTTAGGTATTATTTAATTTTTAAAAACAAAAAAGTACTATTTTTTTACTTTTGAAAATCATGGGTTTATTTAGGTTTATTTTTTTAAAATATGTATGTTCTGAAAATATTTAACATACAATATCAAAACTGACAATGACTTTCCAGTTCGACCAATATTTCCAAAATACACCCTGATATTAACACCATCAATGCAATGGCATGGAAGTAGTGAGGAGGGGGCCATACTTCAATGAGATTTGAGTTTCAATTGAAAATTAGTCATGAAGGGATATGATATATCTCCACAGACATCTCTCAATTATCACGGTTCTTCCCTATTGCTAGCCCCAAGTAATCCCTCATACTACATACCCACGTATTTTGCTTTCTTTTTTGTCATTTGTCCCACAGGTATAATCTGTGCTTCAGTAAACTTCAGTAAACTGTAGAGAAGAAAGATCAAAATGTGATCAACAATAGAACTTTACTAAGATTTAGTGCTCGAAAAAACATAAGTGATTAACTGTTGGTTGCCCAAAAGCATTCTTTGTTTCTTTTCCAAGATGATGATGATTCTTCATATAGTTCCTAAAAAACAGAACCAAAATAGGTACTCAAAATAGATCATTTTAATAAATAAAAATATATTTGAATAAATTAGACAAATGAATAACATATCTATTTCAACCTGCTCCACTTTTAATAATCCAATCAACATTTTTACATAAGGCACTGAGAACAGAAAAGTGAATACACGTGTTCCCTACACTTAAGGACTCCCAACCCTAATTGGGAGAATGAGAGCCCAGAAGCTCTATCAAGACAAAGTACAACTACAGGAGGAAATAAGTAATTAATTCCACTCAGGCCATGACAAGAGACATCAGTTTATGCAAGGGAAGATGGAAAGTTGTTAGTTTTAAACATTTTTTATTTCCAACACACCTACTACCTTACATTGCTAAGCAGTACACTTTTCCAAAGGGAAATGGGATATTCCATTAGTTGTGAAACCAGCTAATGCACTCAGGTGTAAAAGGCTCAGTACAGTATGAGCCTAACTGCCGGCTACTTTCTTACATCTCAGATGATCTCCAAGCCTAGAGGCTAGACTGAGACTAGATTTCAGATCCCTGTAGAAGGAAGGGAGCGAACACACTGCTTTCTTTTCCCACCCTTGTCAGAACCCTTATGGAGGAGATTCCAAAGTCAATTGACTTTAAGTTCATTCACTGTAGTTTTCAGCTCCAGGATCTCTCTCTTTTTTCAAAATTGTTTTCATTATTTCAATTTCTTTGTTGAATTTTCTGATCAATTTCTGAATTGCTATTCTGAATTCTTTTGGAACTGAGTTTCCTCAAAACAGCCATTTTTCTTGGTCTGAATGGCCTCTCAGCTCCATCTAATGAGGATTGGGCACTGGTATCCTGTTGGTTCCATTTGGTGAGCTTATCATTCCCTGTAAGCTCTTAACTCTCATGGACATAATCACTGAATACACTCAATTCCCCCAACCCTCTACAGAGAGAGAAAAGCAAATAGAAAACCCAGCTGGTTCTTAAAGCCTAAAAATGACAGTATGTCTCAACTCCTGCCCTTTGCCCTTACTTCCTGGGGCTACCCTCTCTTCTACTTTCTGTTGGCTCACTGTGAACTCCTTTATCCTTGGTAAAGAAAGCCATCCCTGCTGCCTAGGCTGGAAGCTCATTTTGAAATGCCTTTCCTACCTCTCCTTCTTCCAGGGCCTGCCTTAGGCTCTGTAAAAAGCCTATGACTGCCTTATTCATAGCAAAGCAACAATACATCTGGGCTTTACTAAGCTTCCTTTCATATATTCTATCCTCTAATCCCCAATTATTTCCTAAAATCTGAAACCTAATAATACATTTCAGATTTTATTCAGAAAATTAGGATATGAAACTCCTTAGGCCCTGGTTCAGAGTCCTACTTGCTCATCTTTCCTACTGACTGAGGCCAGAGGCTCCTGAAAGGACAGAAGATTCACCCTTTAAAGCCTTGGCCCTCTCCTCTCCTCTGCTCTTCTGATCCCCTGAGCTGCTCATTAATTCCTCAGCTTTGCCAATAGCCATACTGCTATGGGCAACTCTGTGGTTAGAAGTATAATTACACGTGTTTATAAGTACAGAACAATGCCACTGTTAATGCTCCAAAACCAGGGGAGAAATTAGAGGAGTTTAGAATGCTCTATTTAAAAAGAGAAATGCTTGTGCTTGACTTATTGACAAAAAATAAGCTATGATTTTCTATTTATGCTTTTAAATTCACTCACTACGCATTTCTCAGAGACAGCAATATCTAACCCTTTTATTTATTTCTTTCATATAAAGAAGCTTTAGAAAAAAGCTCTTTTGCCCTGAGGAATTTCTATTTTAGCCATTGCCTAAGTAGTCAGAGACCATGTACAACTCTGCAAAAGAAAGATCCTCTAATTGAAGGGGATTCTCCCAAGGGAATACTTCACCCATGAATCCCAGAGAACACTGCCGTCTACAAATTCTAACTGCTTCTGCTTGCTGGGCCTGCTTTGTGCCATGCATTCTTTGGGGCCTGTGTTTGTCAAGCTTAACAAACTTAGAAGGGAGATATTATATAAATGTGCTGTTTTACATATAAAGAAAACAAGATTCAATTATTAAGGAAAGTGCATAAGTACAAATTGTGTATGTTCTCCTATTCCCCATGCTTTATCAAAGAATTCCTAAGAAAAATAATGTCCACATGGCAAAATGAGGCAACTTCTTAACCTACCTTTTTCCATATGGGCACCCTGGCTTTTAAAGTGTCAATGGCATAGGTGACAGCTTCAAGGGAAGCAGCCCTGTGGGCTGAGGACACAGCAATAATTATGCTTGCTTCAGACACTGGAACCAAACTTGAAAAAGATGATGAAAAAAAATTACCATCACCTCCTAATATACATGTAGGAAAAAATCCAGTTATACATTAGAACATATGGTAGTTCTATTTCAAACATCCAATTTAATTAGAAAACAGTAATTCATTCCAGTTGCATTCAGCAGAGGGGATGCTGAGGCTGATCTTGTGGCCAATTTGTTAGCAACTATCCACAAATCCCCTTTGTTAGGGACTAAGAAAAAAAAAGAGTCCTTTTGTTGACCCAATAAATATCTGACTCTAACAAAGCACACTGCCAGGTAACTCCTAAAGCTACAAAGTTGCAACATGATAAGAATAACATAGAATTTAAATAATAAATAGCAAACGATATTAAGGAATAGGACTGATCATGCTTGTTATTAATAAAAATACTGGTTATTAACAAAAGTATAATTAACAACAAAATAACAACTAACATGACAGATATAGGCTTAACTGCTGATTGTTTTTAAAGTTTTGCACTCTAATCTTTTTAGTTTTACAAAAAGGCAAATTACTTCAATGATTCAGACCTATAACAGATTCTTATATAAACAGAGTACAGACCATAAGACAATTCTCAAAGACCTCAAGGACTTTAACATAGGCCCTTAGCCCCAGGGTCTGAAAATCTTGGCACATTTGCACTTTGTTACAGCAAAAGAGACAGTAAGGGCTCTCCAAAATTACAACCCAACAAGTAGCCTTTAAGGTACTGGGAACTATCTTCATTGTCCTCCAGAAAAATATTCAAACCTTCCTCTTACGGTAACATAGGATTCCTAAGATTACAGAAACAGCATTCATTCATACAAATATGGAAAACAATCATGCTCAACTTCAAGACTGGTAAAGAAAATCATACCCAAGTCTATGGAACACTGCTATGTGCTTGACTGGCCATTTTTGCCTAATGTCACTACAAATTTTTCTGATTTCATTTTCTGCCATTGGTAGATATGCTTCATATTCTAAGCTAATGACTTTTTTTCCTTCAAAGTTATTTCTTGTAGTCCCTAAAAAAAAAAAAAAAGAAGAAGAAACAATTAGGCTATCCCCCGACAACAGAAATAACACACTAACAGAATTTAAAAGGATTATGGTTGAGTTAAAAGGATTATATTTAAATTGTAAATAAACAGCATAAATTTTTGTCTGAAAATTGCTTTGAAATTTCCTAAGAACAAAACTTGATTAGGAAAATCACAGATAATTATCCCAAAAATGTTAAGGAAATAAGAGAACACTGATTAAGCAAGCTTACTGAAAACATTTGCATGACAAAACAGGCTATATTACTTTTCTGAGTAATAGCATTTGACATTTAAAAAGAAAAATATTTTTGTTTTTAGAATTATAATCAAGTATATGTTTTACTCAACATTTGGAAAATATACAACTTTCTCTCCTAGCAATGACTTCCATCATACCCTTTTAATGCCTGGTAATTTGATATAGGTTAATCTGAAGGTTACTAAAATAAACAAAATGAACACTAAAACAATTTCTACCCACTTTCATGGGTAATCGTGGTTTATCGCTCAAAGTCCTCTGACTATTAATGCTGAAGAGGGACAACCCTAACTGATTTCTACTGCCACATGCAGACAATAGACACTGTTAAAATACAACTTACCTACAAACAGGGATATTGCCCCACAGAGAGGAGATGTCACTAACTGGGAGACATCATCCACAGAAAGTTTCTCAGCAGTAAATTTTATTATGTCTTTAGATGTCTCTTCAACTTTGTCCATATCTTTTCTGGAAATAAGATATTAATGAACTTTAGTACAAATACTAGAAGCAAACCCCTCAACTTATGAACTGTTTATATTTTCTCTACATCAGATGTGTTAGGAGACATGATTGATCTGGGTGATAAAAACAAGCAAATGTAAAATTTTAGTATAACTGCTATATTCATAAATAGCCCTAATGAATCAGGCATGTGTAAAAAGTAATTCAATATTAGCATGGTCACTGTAATGTAACACAGCTCTTCTGTCAATTTATTGCAACTCTGCAATTACTACCTGTATCTCCCATCATGGTATAGTTGAAATATTACCACCTTTGCCTTCATTCAATTCACCTCTAATCACTATGTAACCAAGCACCACACCCAGACTGCCTTTTCCTTTATCCAAAAAGAAGACTGGGAAAGCAAGAATGACAGTGACTTCCACAGGAACTAAGTTGCTTTCACACCGAGGTATGACCCCTGTCAAGTAATAGAAGAAATAGAGAATAAACTGTACACCTTTTAACCAGGTGTTGTACAAAGGCTTTTGCATGTATTTTGCATTTAATTCATCAAACAGTATTACATACTCACTAAGTGTCAGAGACTGTGACATTAATTACAGACCCAGGGGTTGGGGGATCACAGGCCCAGCTGGGTGTGCTAGCGCATGCCTGTAATCCCAGTAACTCAGGAGGCTCAGGCAGGAGGATCACAAGTTCAAAGCCAGCCTCAGCAACTGGCAAGATGTTAAGCAACTCAATGAGACCCCGTCTCTAACCTGTCTTTAAATAAAATACAAAATAGGGCTGGAGATGTGGCTCAGTACTTGAATGCCCCTGAGTTTAATCCCCAGTACCCCCCAACACACACCAAAAAAAATCATAGGCTTCTGTCATCAGGGTGTTGTATTCCAAGGAAAGAACAAAGCAATAAAGAAGAATCATAAATGGGGATAACTTACGGAAATAAACAGGTTCTGAGACAAAGTGTGAGGGCTATTAGAGAAAAGGGATCCCAAAGGTCTCCCTCAAGAGGGAAGATTTCAAAAAGAGACCTAAAAGACAAGAGGGCAGCCATGTGATGAAATGGGATAGATCCCCAAATAAAGAGACGGGACTAGCAAATGTGAAGGTTCTGGAACAAGAAAGAGTTTGACACATTCAGAACCTCCAGGAGACCTAAGCACAGTGAGCAAAGAAGAGAGGAAGACCTGAGGCCGGACAGGAAGGTAAGACCTTGCAGACCCTAAGAAGTATGATTACAAATCCTGGAGATTTCACCTTAATTGAAAAATGAAAGGAGGCTTAGAGAAATTATGGACTCTTCAAGGTGCTGAAATTCTAACAAAGAACTCTTAGTAAATCTAATTTATATTACCTTATCTCCTTCTAACTTCTGAAAAGTGCAATTACTTATATATGCCACTAGTTTCCAGGGCATTTCAAATGCTGTACGTGCCACAGAAGCTTCTTACACCTGTTCTTCTTGCTTTTAAACAGGTAGCCAAAATGGGGTATCTGTGCTCCAAATCATAGTACACTCTCAAAATTTTTTACTGTACAAGACTACTAAAACCTAACTAGCAGATTCTAAAATTTCATAACATAAATCCTGACAAAAGTATCCACATAATATGCAATGCTGTTGAGTAATCTTTCTAATCTGTCCAAAGAACAGATACAGTCATTACACACACACACACACACACACACACACACACACACACACACACACACACACCTTTCATGGCAGTCTATTGTCTTCTGAATAAATTCCAAGCTCTGAAAACCAGCATTTTAGAATCTTCTGAAATCACAATGGTGATAAGGTAATTACAGTGTGCATATAAAACTGAGATGCATATCTAACAAAGAATTTCCAGATGATAGGTATGAGAAAGGTCCCTAAATATAGCCATGCTGGGCAATCCACTGTACAGACTAATTCTGCAATTTTTTTTGTGGCACTGCCCTCTGAGAAAGTTGGGAAAAGTGGACAAAAAATTAAATAGGGAGTTCTTGGCTTGCTCCTTTCTCTAATGGAATCAAGGTTTGCCATTGAGTATGATGTTTACTATTGATTTTGGATAAAATCCCTATCAAAGTTACATCTTTTTTTTCTTTCCAAAGAGTTTTTAATCAGGAATGATTGATTTCTACCTCATTTATTATTCAGTTGGCAATAAAGTAAGCTTCATTCTGTCTCTTTATACGTAAGAAAAGCATGATATCTCACACTATATTGAAGAATGTTCTTACACTTCAACCTACTTCAATATGGATTAAGTTATTTGGAAAGACTAACATCTAGCAGATGTCATGGATACACCTATAACACAGCTATAACAATAGAACTACTCCTTTATACTTCCACAATGGTAAGTTTTCTTTTCAGGCACAGTGATCTTTTGATCTTCTAGCTGTGTAATTTTTCTACATTTCTCTGCACCCCACAAAAGCTATTATCTAGTATTATTAAGTACATTTGTTAAAAAAAAAAAGTACAGAGTTCAATAATATGAATTCCAATTTGGCTCTGCCACTTATTAGATATGTGACCAAAGGCAAATTTTTTGTAACTTCTCTAAATTTCAGTTTTTCCACCAGTAAAATATGTATATCAATACTTCAGTCTAGCACTGTGCCCAACACATAAAATATGTTAAATGAATATAATGATCACATGTAAACTGCTTAAAATAAAGCTGATGCAAGGATGGTAGAGAGGTATTTAAAATTGTATCAAGAAAGAGCAACAGTATCAATAAAGAATTGGTACAAGCCAGGCATGATGGTGCATGCCAGTAATCCCAGCAACTTGGAAGTCTAAGGCAGGAGGATCACAAGTTCAAAGCCAGCCTCAGCAACTTAGCAAGTCCCGAAGCAATTTAGGGTAACCCTGTCTCAAATTAAAAAAAATAAAAAGGGCTGAAGACTTGGCTCAGTGGTTGAGTGTCCTTGGGTTCAATCCCCAATACAGGGGAAAAAAAAATAATGAACTGGTGCAATTACAAAGAATATACTGTAACAACAAACCACATACAAGTTATCATCTGTTTGACCCTTCCCCAGAAGACTGATTAAGAAAAACAAATCTCACGTACCTAGATAGTTCAAAAGCACTACCCTCCACTAATGGGGGGGATAATGGCAATTTCGTCTCCTGGGTGAAGGAGGAGGAGCTGGTCTCCCAGCTCTACATATTCTTGACGAACTGCAAATATCACTTGATTTCTAACATCAGCCAATCTGGAGGAGAAAAAGTCTGGTGAGAAGTATCAAGGTGTGATAGGCATCAAATCTCTTCAGCTGTATTATTAAAGACATTGCATAAATATCACTATATGAAACATCACCTGCAAAGTTACTAATTAAGTCATACTCTTTGGAGAAAGGATCTAACCACTGAAGAACACACTTATTCGTTGCAAAGAACATGTTAAAATGCTAACAACTCTTTTGTGAACAAACAAAAACTACACTAGTGGCAACATTCAAACCAAAAATTTTCTAATCAGAACATGGGCTTTCCATTGGTCTTTGGTCTAAGTATACTAAGTAGAACTAGGAAGTTTCCTATAAGATCAAGTTTCTGCCCACAAGCAGGTTAAAGGTAAAATAGTACAGAGGCTAATTACTGATTTCACTGAATGAAGGGCAATTTAGGAAATCAAGAAAGGGAGGTTTCCTTTTGAACACACAATGTCCAGTCTTTGTGTATACTGTTTATGTTACTGGCGATCAGACCCAGAGCCTCATCAAGCTTGATGAGCTACACACACAGACCTATGAAGTCTTTTTTTAACATAGCCCTAGGACTTCCAAGTCTATACAGACTTCAGTGGCACTACTACTATTTCCAGAACATCCTCAAATAAGTCACTTTCATTTTTTTTGTTCCAAAAGTGATTTGAGGTGAGAATGACAGCAATAAAATTACTGGCTTTCAAGAATCTGGGAAAACAAATCAAATATTGCAAAACTCAATTCCAGTAGCATTTAGAGTTTGTGGTAATTCATTTTTCTTTTAATCTTAGAAATTTCTATTTGGAGTATTCTAAAGAGAGAAAAGGACAAAAAAGATTACAGCATGTTTTTAAACAATAAAATTTTCATTAGTGTTATAAAAATGCAGAATCTATAATTGCAATAAAATTGTAGATTACTAAATTTTTTATTATTACAATTGTAGATTATGAAAATAATTATAGATTATATAACCGTATCTGTCTGGAAGTATCCCAGTTTACTGTGACTTTTTAGTAAATTATCTTTAACTTTCCTTAAAGAATGGTGAATTTCTAAATACTAGAGTTTAAGTTTTCAGGAGTAGATCCAGAAAAATATAACAAAGAATCCCTTTTGATATTGCACATGGAAATCAAAATAAACCATTTTTACTTTTATCATTTATATTTTATTTACATAATACTCCTACGAAATATTTACATTTTACAATATTAAAAAGTATTAATCACATGCATTCTACAAATTTTTAATTACCCAGGATGCCGAGTTTCTATTTCATTCCACAGTTGCAATGCTTTTATTTCTTGTGACACAGAAATGGTCTCTGAACGAACTCCTGTTATTTCAGCACTTTTTGCAAAATATAATATTTCAACCTGAAAGGAAAGAAAATGATTTTAATAATAACTCATAGTCCTTTTCTGACTGTTCATACTGATGTTTTCTCCTTTTCCAAATGTATTATTTAAAAAAAAATAATTTTTATGTTAGATAAAATTTGAAAACCCATAAAAAGCAGCATCTCTAAAAGCTCAAATTTTGGAAAATTTTTATGTTTTAAACACAACTCAGTAATGGATGGTTTTTGGTTTTGATTTCCATTAAGCCCATATTCAGTTGACATAAAAAAATATCATTTTTTTTTCAAACTGAACAAATGTCTGAGTCAAGAGATGAATTACACAAATGACCGAATCAACAACTGAATGGCTTGTTTTCAAGGTTGCCAAATGACCTTTGATTCCATTCTACATTACACTGATCCAGCCGTCATGGAAGATCAAGTTATGCAACATACAAATCCTGACATTTATATAAAGCAAGCAGGTTTGAAATACCAGATAAACTGGTATTTCCTAAGAGAAACCTGTGCAATAGGCCCGGTACTAGGGGATCTGGCCAAGTATAGCCACCTGTCACTCAGCACTAATTATTCTCTATGAAATATTGACAGGTTTTGCCAACAATCTAGGGATTGTAAATCCATCGGTGAGGCGCAATTCTTCCCAAGAATTCTTAATTAAGTGCATTTTTAAAAATTAAAGATGCATCTTGGTCAAACTAATACTCTGAGAAAGAGAGCTGTAAAAAAAAAAAAGTTCACGCGCCTTCAGAAACGAACGGGTTCTGAACGCCCTGATTTGTTTACCAACAGTTTGTGAAGTGGACTTGACTTTTGTTGGGGTGGCAGGAGCAATGCCCTCAAAGAAAGAGACCACCTTAGCGGTAGCGGCCCTGGACCCAAGGCGTAGGCCAGGTTGGGCGTCCGTTAGGAGCGAGGAATGGAAAAAGGTCATCCTGATCCAGGCTGGGTCTGTGGCGGGAGAGGAGGGGCAGACAGGTCCAGGAGAGCCAGGCACCCTGGCAAGTTCGTTCGCCCACTCTCCCCCCTTACCTGGCAACGCGGCACCATCCCGGCAAGGACACCTTGCTCAAACTAGACCCGCTAAGGCGGAGCCTGACCGACTTACGGCGCAGGCGCAACCGGATGGCGTCCCTCAAAGAGCATGCGCACGACTAGCTCCGCCCCGTTGTTCCGCAGCCGGGGACCCGGGTTCCTACGGCGAACTGCTCCGCAAAAGCTTTAGTTTCCTCCCGCGAAGACTAAGTGTGGATGTGGTGAAAGAGGTGGCCCTACGTGACCTTTTCTCCGGAGAGAGGTCGTGGAGCAGCAGAGCAGACGCTGTACTCGCCCGGACACTTGCCATAGCCCAGCAGAGTTCAGGTTTCGCTTTGACATCTTCATACCGCTATTCAGTTTATGATCAGTGTTTCTTACAAACTCAGAGCATTACCTTATCAGAGCCTTCGAACCATATCAGATTGGTAGTTACTGCTCATTAGCTGCTCAGGTCACCCAGAGCAGTCCCAGGAAATGTAACATCTGCGCCTAGTATTATACTTGGTATACGGAGTTATCATTAATATTTAAGACTTTCCGTCCAGGACTGTAAACTGCAAGGGGAGGGACACTTACGTCACCTAACTGTAAACAATTTAAAGCAGAGTCCTTGTGGGAATGAAGTTGGGAATGGATAACATGAGGATAAATTACTGAGAGACTAATGAGCAGTAACTACTAATCTGATACGTTTCGAATGCTCTGATAAGGTAATAATCTAAATTTGTAAGAAACACTGATCATAAACTGAATAGTGGTATTAAGATGTCAAAGCGAAACCTAAAGGTGAACCTGAACTCTGCTGAGTTATGCAAGTGTCTGAGCCAGTACAGCGCCTGCTCTGCTGCACCACGACTGTGCTAAGTCTCACCAAAATGTTTGTGCCAAATCTACTAGAATTGTACAAGCAAATGACCTTGTCAGGATGAGAAATGAGGTCATTTCTTACCTGTGCCAAGTATATAAAGCAACATTATGAGTTCGCAGAAGGAAAAACAGTTTGCGACTCAGGTGTACCCTAGGCAAGAAAGGAGGTGGTGGGAAGTGAGACTGGTGATACCATCGCAGGAAAAATTGGCAAGCACTGACATACATACATATGTGTGTGTGTGTGTGTGTGTACACACACACACACACACACTTTTATTTTTCAGGGTAAAACTGATAAACATCAAGGATGATGTTTATCCATACAGAAAAACAAGGGAAAGATTGTTATGGGCCAGACTATATGGGCAATGACCAAACAGACTTCATTTTACCATGAGACTCCATATTATGTAAGAAATGCTTCTCCCATGGGAAAGCCCCACCTCTATACCCATTAATAGTTATCTAGCGTAACATACTTGGCAACACAAAATAGCAATTCTTATAAAATGTAAAATTGTTCTCTTTGGTTTTCATTTTTCATGAGTGATAGACCTTGTCAGAGATTGATTGTCTAGATGTTAGTAACCATTCTCTAACTTGTACTCAACTATGGTCATTTTGACCCATTTCCCTTCTGCTTGTTTTCTATTGTGCCAACCTGGAAAATCCTGTGGGAAATACCAGTGTACCCATTGCATTGTCTCGCTAACTGCCCAATTCAGCTTCTGTACCTGCTTGCTTACAGCTACATCAACCCTGATGTAGTTTTTGTCATTGAATATCCTAAAATGCTCAGGCTTGGGGCTGTTCCTTGCAGAGACAGTTATGGGTCCTGCAGGGAGCAATCCCCGGCTTTTTGAGTTCTTTATATACTCTAGAGATTAGGGCTGTATCTGATGTGTGAGGGATAAAACTTTTCTCCCAATGTAAGCTCTCTATTTACCTCACAGTATCTTTTGCTGAGAAGAAACTTTTTAGTTTGAATCCTTCCCATTTATTAATTCTTGCTTTTAATATTTGCGCTATAGGAGTCTTATTAAGGAAATTGGGGCCTACTCTGACATGATGAAGATCAGGGCCTACTTTTTCTTCTCTTAGACACAGAGTCTCTGGTTTGATTCCTAGGTCCTTTATCTACTTTGAATTGAGTTTTGTGCATGGTGAGAGATAGGGGTTTAATTTCATTTTGTTACATATGGATTTCCAGTTTTCCCAGCACCATTTGTTGAAGAGGCTATCTTTTCTCCAATGCATGTTTTTGCCACCTTTGTCTAATATAAAAGAATTGTAATTTTGTGGGTTAGTCTCTGCATCCTCTATTCTGTACCATTAGTCTACCAGTCTGTTTTGGTGCCAATACCATGCTTTTTTGTTGTTGTTGTTACTATTGCTCTGTAGTATATATAGTTTAAGGTCTGGTATAGTGATGCCACCTGCTTCACTCTTCTTGCTAAGGATTGCTTTAGCTATTCTGAGTCTCTTATTTTTCCAGATGAATTTTATGATTGCTTTTTATATTTCTATGAAGAATGTCATTGGGATTTTGGTTGGATTGCATTAAATCAGTATAGTGCTTTTGAAAGTATGATCATTTTGATAATATTAATTCTACCTACCCAAGAGCAAGGTAGAACTTTCCATCTTCTAAGGTCTTCTTTGATTTTTTTCTTTACAGTTCT